CTGCTAAAAATAAACTAATAATAATTCGATAAAAATAAGTAAAAATAAGACTAAGTTATCTATTCTACCACAATACCACTACTATATTGCTACTATAATGCTACTACATTGCTACTACATTGTTAAAAAATAATCACTTTCAGTAAAGAAAGAGAGAAGAGGAGAACAAGAAGAAATAAGAGAAAAACTAGACAGGTTAGAAAAATTAATCAAAAATATGGAAACAAAAATTAATGTATTATGAAATTGGTGAAATGAGCTGCAGGAAGAGCAGGAGAACCAACAAATCAGCAATAAGAATACAGACGAGCAACAAATGCAATATCAAGATGCAGAAGAAATGGGCAGAAAAAAGGAAGAAACCTTTCTGACAACATACAAGGCAATTAACAAGGAGGCGACAGAAAGACAAGACAAACTAGAAAGGCAAATGGAACAGATGGAAAAAATGCTAAGTGAACTTTTGGAAAATGGTCAGTTACCACCTAGTAAAAAGAGGCAACAACATGAAAGACAGTAAGAAACACGAGGCCCAATAACAAATACAAACAAGTATGACAGCACACCATAATGATAAACATAATAATCCAAAAAATATCAACATGTACAAAGAAAAAAGAACTGATACCGAAAACATCAAAATTATGACAATAAACATAAATGACTTGAATGAAAAGTTTAAGAAACAGCAATTACAACATTACTATCACAAAAACAATATAAATATAATAGGGATATCCGATACAAAATTTAAAACAACAATTAACAGGGAAACAATGGGAAACAAAAAATACAAAACTTACTGGGCAAACACAGAAAAACAATCAGGAGGAGTGGGACTAATCGTCCAAAGAGACTGGGCCAAACACATAGGGAAAATAATAATATGGCAGGGCAGAATTTTGGCCATGGAACTAACCTTTAAAGAGAGACAGAAAATAGGAGTGATACAGGTATATGTACCACCACAGTTAGATCAGAAAAGAAAAGAGACAATAGCAGAAATGAGAAAAATCATGACAGAATGAAGGAAAAAACAAGTAATGGGAATAATAGTAATGGGAGATATGAATACGACAATAAAGAACAACATGGACAGAACAGGGGTAAACGAACCAAAGGAAAAAAAGAAATGGATTGAAATACTTAGGGAATTCAATCTATATGACACCTTCAGACAACACAACAAGAATACAAGTGAATACACATAGGGCAAAGAATCAAAAAGCAGAATAGACATGATATGGCTCTCGGAGGACTTGAGAGAACTATACAAAGCCTCATCCATAACAGATATCAGACAATATTTGAATACAGATCACAAGGTGGTGGATATAGAGATAGACTTGTATATAATTACAAAAGAAATCAAAAGATTCAGAACAACAAGTGAAAGGAAAGTCTATGATTACAAACAGATGACTGAAAACAAATGGGAGGAATGGAGAAAAGAAATCGAATATATAAGGACAGCACGCAAAAATAAAGAACAACTAGAAAATAATGAAGGGGAAAAAGAAATAGAAGATTTAAGTAGTAAATAGAAGGAACTAAAAGAATGCTGGAGAGAAGCAGCAGAAAAATGCATCCCTAAAAAGACCCTTAGAACAGAGGTGCAAGATTTCAGTAAAAGGATAAAGACAGCACAATTTACAGCTTTCAGGAAACTAAACAAGGCCATAAGGATTGCAGGGGAAATGAAAGAAACGCGTAATACCAGGAACAGAGAAGAAACAATGGAAAAAAAAGTCAGAATTAACAGGTACATAAGAGCATTGCCAGAAACAAAAGTAAACTTAAGATATCTGAGTGCAACGGAGAAAGTTAAGGATTGGAGAATAGAGACAGAACAAAAGCGAAAAGACCTGAGAAAACTGTGCAAAAGTGAAGCCAGATCTCTTAGAAAGCAATGGATTCTCGAAGCAATAAAGAAAAGAGCAGAGAAATGGCAAGAAAACAAGAAGCGGAAAAATCTAATTTCAAGTATATTGGCACGTGACACAGCAAAAGAGCAAATTGATAGGGTATGGGACCAAGTCACAGGACATATGGAACTAGAAGAAGAAAAAGTCAAGGAACTAACACGGAAGCACTTTGACAAGCAAAATAGAACCAGAAAGTGGAACTTAGAAGATTACTGAAGAAACTGGCTAGAGGAATACAGAAATCCAATGGTTAAATTAGGAGATAGGGAGAAAGCAAAACTGATGGAACCGATATCTAAAGAAGAGCTGGAAAAGGTAATAAGAGAAACAGCAAATGGAAAAGCACCAGGGGCATCAAAAATAGCATATGAAATGCTAAAGAACTGCAGGGAAAAAGAACGCAACAAATTGAAGGATTTGCTTAACAGTATTTTAGAAAAAGGGAAAACGCCAATGAAGTGGAAGCACTCACGAATCTACCCAATTCCAAAAATAGAGAATTGGCAGGGACAAATAGACAAACTGAGGCCAATAGCACTAATAGAAACAGGAAGAAGAATCTTCTCAAAGATAATCACAAAAAGAATAGATCAAGCTCTAACGGCAGGAAAGATCCTACAAGAAAACAATTGGGCAGGTACCTCTGGTGGAACAACAAGTAAGCCAAGAATAATCCTACAAAACATGATGGAAGATGCGCAAACTAACAAAAAGGAGATGTGGATTCTCCTACAAGACACAAAGAAAGCATTTGATTCAGTAGGAAGAAGAGCCTTAGAAATAACTCTAGAAAGAATAGGCATCCCACAAGCACTGATAAAAATAATCTTGGAAATGCGAGCAAACAGAACAGTAGACATAATTACAAAATATGGAACAACACAAAAGTAGGAAATCAAGGATGGTTTGAACCAAGGAGACTCTATGTCACCCTTACTATAGAAAATATTCTACAACCCATTGATCAGCAAAATAAACAAGACAAAGCAGGGATACAAAATGAACAGCAAATGGATCAGAAACTTTTCTACAGAAGAGTCAATGAAAAAAGAAGCTATATTGGGAAGCATAGTCTATATGGATGACACGACATGGATAGCAGGAAGGAAAAAAGAGATGGAAAGTATACTGAATCTAGCAAAAGAATTCTACTATATAAATGACATAGAAGTCAATACAAAAAAATCCAAGCTAATAGTACTGAATGCAAAGAAAAGAAACAAAAAAAGTATAAAACTAATGGGCAAGGAAGTATCAGCAAGTGAAGAAACCAAAGCAAAAAGATTTCTGGGATCTTGGGTACAAGAAAAGCTGGGAAAAGCTATACAATTAAAAAAAATGAGCCATATAGTGACACACAACCTCAATACAATAAGGAGAAGGAAGATATCAGCAGAGATAGTCAGATACCT